TTTTTAAGGACAAATCGCTAAATTTGCGTCTCGCTAAAATTTCCACTTATACGGTATTCTAACTAGTTTGATACATATCTTTATTATGGAAAAACTTACTTCTGAAAAACCCAGCGGGGGGTATTTTGTCCCGTTTGGACAGTTCTAGTTTTAAAAAGAAATCTTATTTTCCTGTTTTTACACCAAAAATAGGTGAAGAAATTTTAGACTACCCGGTAATAAGTTGGCTTTGGTTCTCTGATCATTGTATTGGGCTCAGACAAAATGTGAACAATTGAGAGATGGCAATGTTTGCTTACCTAATTTATATCCTTTAAAATCATACAAGCAAACAATTATCACTGTTTTTTTTTATGATATGTATAAAGATTTAGCCACCAATGAGTTACAATATTCATCTCATCCTTTGGCTCAGTGAATGTTGTACTCCTTAGAACTAGAAGGTTAAATCATCTTATTCACTTCAAAAACCACAATATCAGTATATTGTTGAGGGTAATAAGCATTAAAAAAATTACTCACAAAAACCACTGTCAACCTTAGCTTTTCTTGGTAAACAATGGTTTTTCTCCTAATCTATATATGACTAATCTATATAATTATGATACTTATATAATATCTATTACTGTTCATACTATGGAGGCAGGAGTAATTGAATTTATACAAGATTTATAAATGTTATCAAGTATATGGTGCAGTGCAAACCTTCATCTTAGTCCCAAGATTGTCAAAATGTGAGTACATCTTATTTTTAACTGATAGGTAAATAGTAGGGTTTAACATATCTTGGTCGTTTAAGACTAAAGGCATGTTCTTACATTACTAATAACAATCCGTTCTTTCATAGACTTATATAATTGGTACTTACTAAGTTTCCCCCCTTAAAGCTAAGAGTTGTTAGAGACATGCATTTCCTTTTGTATGTGAATGTTTAAGCTCTAATGAGACCTTGTACCAATGAACAAAGGATTTAACACCACGACTGGAGTCCATGATTTGACTCCCTCTGATGTATCTAATTTGGTAATGTTTTTATTTTTTAAAATGTTTACTTTACAGATTCACTTATTAATGGTTTATTTTTTTATGAATACAAAATGTTTTACATATAATGTTAAAATTAATTAATACAAATTGCTCAATTTATATTGCACAAAATTAATCACCTTTAACTCTCAAACTTGGTAAAAATGAAATTGTGTATTTTATGAGGAAGCCAGTCTTCTTGCCATCCTTCGCCTTATATTCTAAATGACTGTAGCGATTGCAAACTGTGCAAATCACCTCTCTGGTCTTTATGATTATATATAATGTTGGAAGCCTTCAATATATAACCTTTTAGATCATCACAACAAAAATGTTTCTGTAAAAGTTACATGTGATCTTCATTAAAAAGATGATTTCTTTCATATCTATTACTTAAGGAATAACTGTCTGATTTTTTTAATTCATGATGTGATCAATCGAGTGGCTTGGGTGATAATTTGCATAAATACCGAAGGCATTTATGCATAAAATTATCACGCAAGCCAATCGATTGATCATCATCATGAAATCGAAATATATTAAGACAGTTATTCCTTATATTTACATGCTTTTGATTCCGCCAATCCACATGCCACAAGCCCCACTTCTGTCTCTATTTGTCCCGCCCTGCACATGATTTTTGTTTAACCGTGCCTATCGATGAACCAGTACATTTATGTAGAAATCGTTTAAAGTAAAAAACAAGTATGTTTTTTTTTAAAATTTAAATGTGTAAAAAATAGTTCAAAATATTTCTAGATTCACCTCTCTCTCTCGCTCGCTCTTTCTCTTTCTCTCTCTCTCTCTTTCTCAATATTTGGGTTGCATTGTTCATTCTTAATTAACATTTACAACACGACATATCTCCAATAATATATAATTATATATACAGTTAAATCTCTTAAACTCAAACTTGTAAATTGTAAATACATGTAGTTGTACATTAACTGGGAAAGATTTAACCATACATTGTAGGGCAAAACAAATGTGTATGGGTGATTCTTAAAATGTCCATCCTCTTTTCCATTTTTATCATCTTCTATGCCATTCATTATCAGGTATTTATTTGATGGTCATAGTTCCCACCCCACCCCCCCCCCCTAAAAAAAATGGATAGCTGGTAATTCTGGGAAAACACTCCCTAAATTGTAGGTCGATAGCCGGCGGAAGCATAGAAAGTGGGGGCTCTAATTGAAAGGGGGGGGGGCTAAACCAACAAAAAAGGTAAACCCCAATTTTAAATACCTATATTATGTCCATCTTTGCAAAAAAGTGGGAGGGGGATTCAGCCTTTCCGACGTCTATCCATGGTTTCAAGGAGCTTGGAAATTGAACATGGTCGAATTTATAGTGAATTTTTTATTTGAAAATTTTGAGCATGTTTACTTTATTCTTTGCAGTAACCTAAAAACGTGATTTATATCATACCACAAATGCTGTTAATGAATGAAAGGCCGTTTAACTTATCAAATTTTGTGTGTGCACATGGTGAGGCATGCTTTATCAAGTGAGCACTTCCGGTTTTGACACGAACCATCGCTTGGCAAAGATTTTATTTATGCATTGAACTTTGAGAGTGAAAATTGTTGCCCCACTTTCAACAGGCACGTTGTATTGCAGTCAAAGAAGGTGAGTGGTAATATCGTTAAAAGCAAATGGCAATAGAAGTTCGACACCCCCCCCCCCCCATCACACACACACATACACAGAGTAGTATTTTAGCTATTTTGTCTGTCAAGGTTTTTCAGGGCTAATTTTTTTCCTTCCAAATAGCCCCCTCCCTACTTTTAATTTGCTTCTGTTTTGAGGAGAAAGTAAAGCCTAAAGCATATACCAGTACTTATAACCGTTGTTGTTTATGAAATCAGTTTGAACATCTTTAAAAACGCTTTCTTATCGACTATGATAACGTATTTTGTATTTCAATTTGTGTGTGGTGGTGGTCGGGGGAGGGGGGGGGGGTAATTGGTAAGCCGTTACATGGCAAATGAAAAATACAGACAAAATCAATAAAAGATATTAAACGAGAGGAAAAAGAGAAAGGGGATTTCCTACAAATATTTTGAAGCAAAATGAAATTAATTTTAAAACAATATAATTAAAACAAAATATTTTATACTTGACTTCATTTTCTTTCTTTTTTTAGATAATTTTTTTTTACGAAATGGTGTACAGCAGTTTATTATTTAATACAAAAATTGCTATTTGCTATTTTCTAATGCATGGACTGTGGCTTATTTAACCCCAAACAGATATGGAAATTGTATTAAATGGTCTAAATTTTCGAACTCGATCTACTTTCTCTCGATACGCATGTTAGTGTATTTTATTTATTATTATTTATTATTTATTAAATCACATGCGGGGTGCTACGTAGAGACATCGCGGAAGCACTTGGATTAGCGTCCAGTAAAAAACATGTAAATATAATGAATAACTGTCAGATTTTTTGAATTCATGTACAACGATGATCAATCGATTGGCTTGCGTGATAATTTTATACACAAACGCCTTCGGCGAATTATTCTACGAGATTGATCACATCATGAAATCAAAAAATTGACAGTATAATTGTTCTTTGATTCAAGACAATTTTTAAAACGTATTTGGCAGCGCCCTAATTACGTTGGGAAATCTTAGTCCTGATATTGTGACGATGAAATTCTCAAAATATTTGCCTCTAAACGAAAATGATTTATTCTTATTCAGAGATGCATTTGTAATACAGAAACCTTTGAAGTCTTAGGCGTTTTGACTTAGTCTCTAAAACTCAATATTGTTATTTTTTATTTGTTATCACATGTTTACTTACTCAGTAACCTAAAAACGTGATTTAGAAGATGGAGGATACGAGTAGTTTAAGAAAAGAAGAAAGTTATTTTTAGCTTTTGAATTTATTACTCATGTTCCTAATGACAAGATAAAATAGAAGTTATGTTCATGTGTTCAATCGAAGTTAGTTTCAAATAAAAATTAAGAAAAGGTAATTAAGTAACAAGAATTATAGAAATAAAAAAATAAGTATGAAAAGAATAATTAATGTTATAATAACAACTAAGCTTCATGAAATGTTTCAACCGCATTAGACGTTAAACAACAATTAATCAATCTAAAACCACATAAAAACTAGGACTGAACATATCATTGTAATAATAAAGTAAGTCAAACTATACGTTGTAGATCTATAGCAATGTTACATTTAGTTATAAAAAAGTCATAACAAATAAGCTTGAACTTGAACCATATTTGTACAACGTCAGTTTCTGCTATTGAAGGAAGCGTTTGTACTTCAATAGCGTTTCCTGACAATGATATTTCACTAAAAACAGGTGTCAACATTACAGGAGAAAAAAACAGCATTAAAATATGCTTTTGTTAAAAAAAAAACCCCAAACACACACACCTTCTCTCACACACATGCACATACAGGAGGAAAGATTCAGGTTATTTTTTAAATATACTTTTTCTTACCGACATGCAGAACATCAGTAATACAATCAAAATCAAGAATAAACTTAATAACATTGATTAAATGTCTGGATTATCAAAATAAATGTTTTCTCTGTATATTTATCTTCCTTTGATAGGTTTAAACATTTTACAAATACTTACAAATATATTTTATTTGCAAAGGAAATCTTAATAATAAGGGAATGCAATTTATTTTCAGAAACGAAACTTTTTAAAGGCCCTTTGACTATAACTAGAAAGAAGTATATTTGTTCATCTTCGTTGAATGATACTTCATACAATGAAAACATTCTGGTTTTTACTTTCACATCGATATTCAATGATTTATTAATTTCACCACTGTTTTTACTTGGAATTATTATTATTAAATGATCATATCACTGTTTCTTCTTACATATGTAACTATGTTTATTTTAAGTCAAAACAGAAATTACAAAAGGGTATTGGAATGAATAGCACATTTGATTCATGTAATGGACATGTTTTGTCCTCAAACTTCCTTTTCAGTCTAAATACTTTATTCTCTTAACCTTTCCTGAATTGCATTCTCCCACCATTAATTCCCCCTCCCTAACGACACACACGGCCCGTGGATCCCGTATCCCCTGATCAGGAATGATGTACCTCAGGAATAGACCGTCCCTGTCCAGCATGTGAATTTTGTTGCTTAGATAGTCAGTGATGATGATGTGACGCATACTGTCTGTGGTAAGGGATCCTCCATGAATATTTTCCTTTAAAGCTTTGTTCCCTTTGTAGGAGAACCTGAATATCCCGAACTTGTCAACGACTGTGATGGCTTTTTTATCCCAGTCTGCTACACAAACGTCGCCATTACCATTCTCTACTACGTAATTTGTTTTTCCAAACAAAGGCTGGTACTGGGAGTCGTACTGGATTTCCTGCAGCACGTCACAGGAAATGCTGTATCTTACGACCTTTGATTCTGTTTCATCTGAAGTCCGAAGACAGACGAGGAAGTCCAGTGCTGCGGTACAGGTCATACCATAGGGTTTCCACTCTTTAGTACAGAACAATGTTTCTTCTTTACCGTTTATAAACTTCTTCACGGTATTGTCATTTCTATTGGCATACACTGCATGTCCATCATGCAGGGACAGATACCCTCCATAATCTGTGATAGGGACTGTGTTGTGGAGACGTCCCTGGAAATCAAACAGTTTGAGCTCATAACTATATCCTCCTACCCACACTCTGTCGTCATCGAAGGGGACCAAATCATATAGCCGGGTCTCGTTTTCTTTGTTGGCTGGGGGAACTCTGTTATCAAAGACGGACAAGACTGTAGGGACATCTAGAGCTTGTCGTAATGAGGTTTTTTCTTCTTGTGTCAGATCACCAATAGGTAGTTTTTGCGATTCTAGTGTATTAATGAAGCCAAAATGCGAAGTTGTAAAGTTTTCATCGAACAAACAAGGCTGAAAGCATGCTGGTAGTGTTTCTTCTATATAGGTTGGCAACTGCTGATTTTCAAATTCAAGCTGAAGTTCCATTAACCCAAAAATATCTTTGGATTTTGCCAAGCTTAGGTCTGTTTGATTAAGGATTTTCAATTTCTTAAGTGTTTCTTCAAGTTCTTTCCTTTGCTTCAATAATATTCCTGCATGCTTTTCTTGCAATACATCCAAGTCTTTGAGCAGTTGGGTCTCTGCTTTATCAATCTCCTGATGCCACTCTCTTGCATGGGCTGAAATATGAAATCTCGTCTGTTTGTAGATATTTGGAAGAGCCGCCGATCTTTTAGCTATATGATTGAGAATTTTCTCTATTTCAGATTGTATCGACTGTACCCGTTCATTTTCTTTCGTTATAAAATCGGACAATGTGTCGATCTTCTCTGATAATTCACAAATTTCATGTGTTTTATGTTTGATTGATACACATAAAACACAGATGGGAATATCACAAGATTCGCAGAAGGCTTTACACTCTTGCTTTGGATGGGCAGAGCATTCTGTACCCTCGGGTTTATTTTCTTTCATAATAATTTGTTACTTCATGACCTTTTACTGATTTGATAAGCACGTGGGGGACCCTACACATGTGTTGCATAATTTGACAGCACATCTCTTGCATTTGAAGTTGACAGGACTTTTACAAACATCGCATTCTAGGTAATGTTGTCCTCGCCTTGAAATTGATGTAGCCATCCTTTCATCTTTAAAATAAATAGAGAATGTTGTAAATTTTGAAGGCTAGAATGACTTTTTTCAAAGCATGTATTCAAGAGATTTATTTTAATGCTCCGAAATCTCGTTTGAACTTGTTTTATTTACTGGTAATTTGGTTGTCATTAAAAATTATGAATAATACTAATAATGAATCATTCTACAAAATATACTGCCAGTGTATTAATTTTTATATGAAAGTTTGAGTAGATGACTTAATACAAAACTGAATACAAAACCAATACTGATTTATTTTAAAACAACACCCCTGACGTAGTGATCAGACACTGCTTATCTTAATTGAATCCTGTTATTGTAAACTCTGCCTACACTTGATGATTGACATTACTCTACACATGCTTCGGGGACTTTATCTGAAGTGTTTCTATGGATGTCGCGTGAATACTGTTCTACCGGGTATATTTAACATATGTTTACTTAAGGTAGGATTCTTCTCTGGTTTCTGACTAGATGAAACATTCAATGTATACTTGCTAACATGTCTTATATATTGAGGTGTAAGGGATTTAAAAGACCATATTTTTCTTTCTTCATCACAATTGTACAACTTTAAATAGAAATGGTAAACTGCATTTGAAAACTAGCAGGGACTATATTTTTGGCGGAATGGTGGCGTATGAAAATATCTTCTTTTCTGCCTCTCAAAATTTTAATAGAACAATGAATTTAGTTATAATTTTTAGACAATCGAAGACTTGGAGAAATTTTCAAATGTAAGTTAAATTAATAATGAGGGACTAAACTTTCAAAATATATCAAATAAATATGATTTTTCAAACAAACTAGAACTTTGTTAGCTTTTAAACGTTTCCTATCAAAGCGCAGATTTGAGCCAAAAATCCATAAAAAGTATTTTTCTCTCTTAGTAACCGATCAAAACGTTTCGTTCTTGTATCATTTTGAACATTTATAAGACTACTGTATTATATGTGAAAATAAGAAAAAGTTAAATATAGGAAGCATATGAAAATAACTAATATATCCTAAAAAATTAAGAAAAACAGAGAAAATTCGGATTAGCTAATATCCAGTTTAGTTAAATTATTTATGTAAATTTGGTAATATCATGCTATAAACCCGATATAGTAATATGTTTTTAAGCAAAAAGAACAATCTTTAAACTATTGAAATAGAAGTAGGTATCACATAATTAGCAACTGTATTTTTTTATTCTTAATGTCAAGGGAAAAGATAATGACCTTGACCTGACCTTGCCTCTAATATAAAACGGTCAAACTTAATCTCACTGATACTATCACTTACTGATATTGTCTTCTTGTTTTTGTGGAAATTTCATTTTTAAATATTAGAAATATGAGAAGAATCCTACCTTAAGTAACGATTATAGACAAAGCATAACAGAATTCCTTATGCATAAAGAGGAATGTAACATGGTGTCAGAAGTGATTGTGAACTTATGAAAAAATGCATTGTGAATGTATCATCTTTTATTCGGTGGTGAGAAATTAATTAAGTAAAGGAAAAAGTCCGAAAACTGTCCATTCTGTGAGAGAAAGAACTGTTCGTCAGGCCTGAAGGGCCGAGAATAGTTCTTTCTCTCACAGACAGGACAGTTTGAGGACTTTGTCCTACCAGAAGGTCATTTTAACCAACCTCCGGAGATGGACTTCTCTCACGAAGGAATTTTAGCGGAAAAGTGGAAAAGATGGAAACAAACCATGGATCAATATGTAAATGTTGCCCCCACTGACCAAAGTGGAAAAAAAAGTGCAAAGCTCTTTTATACATTATTGGTCAAGAGGGAAGCATTCGCACTTGCTGTTGATGATGTTGACAAACTGGATGTTTTAATCAAGAAATTTGAAGATTCCTGCATCCCAAAACAAATATGTTAGTTGTTAGACACAGATTCAACACTAGAGTATAAGGACCTCGTGAAAGCATTGACCAGTACAAGACTGTTGCTTTGAAGACCTCGGGGACGGCTAAATATTTTAGACAGAATTGCATGTGGAACAACTTCATAAAGAGTGAAAGAAAGATCGACCTTTACGGCTGAAAAATCTCAGTTTAGAGAAAGCTGTGAGCTTGTGCCGAGAAGATGAAGAGCTCAAATAGCAAATCAAAACAATCAATAAAAAAGAAAAAGTTCGTGCTCTCAAAAGGAAATTTAGGAAACAAGGAAACGCTGGCAGTGGACAAAGGAAACAACAAACAAATCAAGTCAAGAAATGTACATTTGAAAAATGCAGAAAGAAACAAGAAAAACGAAATTGTCCAGCGTACGTGAAAGTATCTTATAACTGCAATGAATCAAATCATTTTTAGAAATTCTGTAGGTCGAAAGGATTCACAAAAAGAAGAGTGAATAATTTGCAAGAAAGTGTAGGCCTAAATGAATCTGAATGTGAGAATTACAACTTCTTCGTCGGAGCGGTCAACAAAAAACTGAAATATCTGACAATTCCTGTTTCACAAGGTTCAAAGTTCAAGGTAAGACAATTAAGTTCAAAATTGACAATGGATTCCATGTCAACATTACTTTCAACTAGAATCGCCAAAGGTTAGGGTTTAAAACTGAATAATGTCAAACTCAAAAGAACAAAAACAACATTAATTGGAGCTACTCAGGAGACAGCCGACTACATCTACAAAACAAGAAACTTGAATTCTTTGTAAAAGAAACCAGTTTCCATTGTTAGGATTAAAAGCATCGAATATATTAATTGTGACTTATTCATGTCGTCTTGAGCGTTCAGTCCGAAATTGAAAATCAAATCAAACATTTCTCAAAGTATATTTTGGCATAGCATCTCTGAAAATACTCTCTCAGTTTCAACTACTCTACATCCATTCTCCAAGAAAAAATACCTACAAATTTACGTGACAGACTCAAAACAACTCCTGAAGAAATGGAAAAATTGTGACTGAAAAACCAAAGTCATAGAAAACCAAGAGTACTAGTACGCCTTGATCCAAGATCCCTAAATCGTGAAATCAAAAGGGGAACATTATGAACATCCTACCATAGAGGACCATATTACCAAACGTATGTCAGGAGCAAAGTACATGAGCAAAATTGACTGTAATCATAGATACTGCAAAATGCCTTTAGACAGAGAAAGTCAACTTTTGAATCTCCATTTGGTAGATACTGTTTTCTACGAGTGCCATTTGGGATAAATTCCATTTGGGATGAAGGCGTTGAGATTGGCAGAGATGGCATTCTAATTAGGGAAAAAAGAACATGATGACAGATTTCTAACAGTGCAACGCAAATGTCAAAAAGTAGGACTAACACTCAATCCTGAAAAATGCAAATTCAGAATAAAGGAGATTACCTACACTCGGTGCAGATGGACAAGACAAAGAAACAATTATCAAAGCAATTTCTGAAATGCCGTCACTAACAGACAAAACTCAAAACTTACTTGGAAATGAAAATTACCTGGTAAAATTTGTACCGAACATGTCAGCTGTGACAGACTCAATCAGAAAACTATTAAAAGATGAAAACGGAAATGAATTCATTTGGACAGTCACATGAACAAAATTCGGCATTCTCAAATACTGTGTACTAACTTTAATTCGCATGCGATAAATATTCGCGAGTTCCATATCAATATCAATTTCCACCAACCAATAATTTTAAGTATTAGTAGAGAATGTTTCCTAGGTGGCGAAAATTAGTTGTCGCGGATTGATATCAAACTAACGATTTGCGAATAAAAGATAACGCTAATAGTAGTTGGTTTACAGTACTTTGATGTCACAGTTAGCTGTGAGACATCTAACACTGGGTTGTGTGCAGTTCTCTTACAGGAAGGAATCTGAAAGCTTATGCCTCAAGATTTTTATCAGATGCAGAAACCCGTTATGCAAATATCATGAACATTGAAACAGAGTTGTTGGCAGTTTTATTTGATTTAGAGAGATTAAACCAATCCACATATGGCCGAGATGTTGTCGTGGAGTCAGATCAAAAACCCCTGGAGTCCACTAAGGAGACTCCCTGCCAACACTCCAAAAAAATGCTGTTAAGACTGTAAATATATAATTTCACGCTAATCTACAAACCCTGAGAAAAGACTTCATGCTGTCAAGAGCACTACTTAACAGATATGATGGACAGATAATCGAGGAGGAAATTGAATGTTTTGTCAACATGAATAAAAGTCTCTCTCATCAAGAGTTAAGGATTAAACAGGAAACAGAAAATGATGAAATCATGAATACATTGAAAACGCTCATAAAAACTGATGGCCAGTAGAATAGAAAAGTTTCAAAAAAAATTGATAACCTGTTTACAAGGTGAACTTGTTTACTTGGTAAACCCTGTGTTTATTTATTTTTTTTTTGGTCTCTAATCATATTGTGTTTATTACGAGTCTAGTATTAATACAAAACCAGCTAAAAAAATAATAAATGGATCTACCAGGATTTGAAAATTGGCCTCTCGCATGCTAAGCCTTGCCTCTGACCTTTGACCTCAAAATCTTTGGCCATATGGAGTTATTGTGTAAAATCCATTGCAAAAGAACAAATGCTTCTCGAGATATCGCGTGGAACCGAAAGCGTTATATGCAAAGACAGAACTACAGATAGACAGACGGACGGACGCACAGACCAGAATCAATATCCCCAACTTTCAGCGGGGGGCAATAAGGAGTGAAATCAAGTTATTTAGCACTGTATGTTAACAACTACATTTCTATTGTAAAGAACGAAATATACTCTATACGAATTATAAGACTAAAAAATTAAGAACGACTTCATCATTTGTTACAAACCTCATCATGGCCAACCCTCCGCCTTCAACATGCAGTTAACTA